AGACATAAATGTCTACCTCGCCTGCCATCAACGTCCCAGCACCAGGCTGAATGGATCAGTTCCTCCTTATGCTCTACTCAGCAGGGAGTAAAGACATCTCCCAGTAGTTGATGAGGATGTCCCAGCGTGAGCCTAGAGCCCTCTGTACCGAGGATCCGTGGTCACCGTGAACAGTTCCTAACACAAAGTGACTGCCTAGTCCAGATGTCCATCCCTAGGATCCCTGTCACAGGGCATGGTCTCTAAATTCAGCAAAACCCCATGCCTAAGCCCTGGAACATCCTAACTCTGCCCTGACTCCTACTGCCACCTCCAGCCATGAGCAGCTCCTGTGGCCTTCAGCTTGAGCTCAGATTCCAAATGTGGCCCCCTCTCATCTTGATGGGGGCACTGCCGCCGTTTCCTGGCTGGACTGCCCATCATCCTGGCGCCTATTTTCTTTGCCCCTGACATCAACGAGACCTTGGATCCACTCACTCAGCCCTCAGGAGTGGCTGTGACAAACCATGTTGAAGGTGCTCAGATCCCACAGCACCTGTGTGCCTGGTGACGGGGACATCCTCTCACATCCTTTGGGACTTAGCCAGCTTGGAACCTGCTTCTGCCTCTAGACTATGGTGTCAGAGCCAGCCTTGTGCCAGAGTCAAGCTTCTCCCTGTGGGGACATGACTGTTCCTGCCCTGCTTAGTCCACTGTGCCATTGGCCAGACCTCACACATAGCTGGAGGACAGAGGGCCAGGAGCTAGATAGGAGCTAAGTTGTCATCAAAGCAAAGCTGCCTCTAGACATGAGTAGTAACCTTGGCTGGACAGTGACATCCCCCAGCCAAGCCCAGGCATGCTGAGAAGCAGTTTTGCATACCTGGACTGGAGAGCAACAATGAGTAGCTAAACAATGAACTGTTTCAAGTCACCAAGCCTGAGGACAGTCCATCACATGGTGCCACTGTAATAATAAAAAGCAGACTTTGTGTCCTAAGACTTTGAGGATGAAATCTACACATCTCGGGCTCCCCACTCTTCTACATGGCAGAGCTATCCTGTTGATGTTGACAAGACCCTCTCTTACTTCACTTGGAAACATCTTGCTCTGCATATGAAGGTCCCAAGCACATTTCTAAGATGCATCCCGTCACCCTATCTACCCGTGGGCTTTTCTTCAGAGTGCCATCACCCATCACCAAGGGAGACTCTTTGTCCCAGGTTCTTGGTCAGCTTGCTAATTGCAGTGCATGGGTGATGGTCACTACCTGATGGCATCTGGGAGTGGTCACACGGTACCCTCACAGGCCATTCATGGTACCACTGAGAAATCTTGCTGTGTGTGGACACCATTCAGAAGTACTATAACTGTTCTATCGCTTTGACAAGGACACTTTGGACCTGGCATTCCCTGAAAAAAGGGTAGATAAGCACACAGTCTCCTTAAACAAGCTAACTATCCCCAACGGAAAATGGACAGCATCTCACCATGTTTTAAATGGTATGGACTTGGGAGACGGGAGCATCATAGGTTCCCTTCTCCAGTCTCCACCATTAAGATGCTTTCTGGATTCTTCCTGTGTGGGAGCAACCTGGCCTGACCCACTCCCCTGACAAGGTTTCCTGCTCAGTTGAACAGGGAGCCTCAAGGTCAACATGCTGCCTTTGGCTGTCTGTCCTTTCCCTTCCATGATTCCCCGCCTTGGTTGAGTTTTTGTTGTTTAGGTTTTTTATTTTGGATTTTTCAAGACAAGGTTTCTCTGTGTAGACTTGACTGTCCTAGAACTCACTTTGTAGACCAGACAGGCATCAAACTCACAGAGATCCCTGCCTCTGCCTCCTGGGTGCTGGGATTAAAGACATGTACCACCCCTGCCAGGCTCTGGTGAGTTTTTAGTAGTTTAACCATGGTCAAGATCTAAGCAGGAATCTCAACTGAGGAATGGCCCAGGTCAAGTCCTGTGTGATGAGAACTGTCTTAACTGTTGATTGACATGGGAGGACCCAGCATACTGTTCACAATGCCACCCCTAGACAAGTAGTCCTGGTTTGAATAAGGAAGCTATCTGAGTACAATCTTAAAAAGTGAACCAGTAAGCAGCATTCCCCTATGGTTCCGGCCTCAAGTTCCTGCCCAGATGTCCCCAGAAGGGACTATAACATGGAAACATAAAATTAAATAAATCCTTTCCCATCAGGTAGCATTTGGTTGTGGTGTTTATCACAGCAACAAAAAGCAAAATAGGACACCCCCCCCCAAAGAAAGGGACAATATTGCCAGAGTCCTTGGTGATGCTCAGCATCTCACCCACATTCAAGTGAGGGAAGTCCATTCCTGGCTTTATTAAGGATTTGTCATTCTTAATAAACTACAGTTCCTTTCTCCAGAATGGGGTCGGGGGGGTGGGTAGTGGAATGGTTCACATCTCTGTTTATATCCAGTCTCCCTGGATACTCAAAGCGAAGTTAGACTCTGGGAGAAGCCATGTCTTCCTCCGTTATTCTCTACAATCTTCATATGTATGTATATTATTGTTGTTAATATTACTGTGTGTGTGTGTGTGTGTGTGTGTGTGTGTGTGGTGTATGGGTGAGGGTACATGTTTTTGTGGATGTGAGGGGACAATCTTTGAGAGTCCTCTCTTTTGCCATGTGGGTTACAAGAATCAAGCTTGGATTTTGAGGCTTGGCAGTAAGCCCCCCCCATTGCTGAGCCACCTCTCAGGCCCTGCTTGAGGCAGGGGTCTCTTACTTAACCCAGAGCTCACCAATTCACTTAGACCACTGGTCAGCAAACTCCAGGGCCAACCCCCCACTCTAACTCTCCTCCTTACCCTCCAGCTCCAGGAGTTCCAGGTGTGCTCTAGCCACACTGAGCTTTTATGTAGGTGCTGGGGACCCCAACTCAGATCCTTAAACTTGCACACAGAAAGCATTTCACTGACTGGCCAGCTCCCTAGCTTCCAGTAATTACATTTTTGAGAGCTATTTATCTATTATTTTATGGGTGTGTGTTTCATTTGTATGTGTATACGTTGTATACCTGCTTGGTACCCAGTGAGCCCAGAAGAGGGTGACAGATATCCCCAGAACTAGAGACAGGGACCGCTCTAAACTACCATGCGGGTGCTGGGAACCAAACCTGGGTCCTCTGCGAAAGTAGCAATTGGTCTTCATTGGTAAGCCGTTTCTCCAGACCCAGCCAGTTAGTATTTTAAAAGCATGGGAATCAAGAGGGATTCAAGCCAAAGAGAAGTCTACCTGACAGGCCTGGCCCGCATGAGGGACTCCAATCCATTTTGTGTTATTCTCACTGGAGTCTTACCAAAACAGTGTCCCCAGCCCCACCTCCCCCCATTTTGGCCAGGTTGGTTTCATGAAGATTCTTTTTTGACAACCATATGTGTAAACAGTAGAGGATGTGGTATGGGGACCCAGGTGTCCCTCTAATGAGTACTTCAGGTCCTTAGCTGACAAAGATGACATCTAAGAACAGGCCTGTCTCAGTACTGCCAGCATTTGATGTGGGACAATTCTTTGCTATTGGGTCCTGACTGGCATGGCAGGAGGGTTGGCTCCCTTTCCTGTACCAATCAACATGCCTCTGGCATCACCAAGTCACTGTTGTAGTCTTTTGAGAATGGCCAATCTAAACTGTCCCTCCTGGTCACTTTTATGAGTGAGCTCCAGAGAGCCACGATTCAAGGCACGCTCTCCATTAAATATACTAGACACTTTCTTTACTATAAACAGAGGTGAGCTGGGGGATGGGCAGCATGTATCCTGAAGAGTAGTACCCAGTGGGTGGAGGCAGTGGCTTAATGATTCATACGGTTCTCTCTCTCCCTCCCTCCCTCCCTCCCTCCCTCCCTCCCTCCCTCCCTCCCTCCCTCCCTCTCTCTCTCTCTCTCTCTCTCTCTCTCTCTCTCCCTCTCTCCTTTCCTCCTCAGAGCCTCCTGAACTGGAAGCCTACAGAGGAGCCAGCACCCCAGAATAGCTTGGATATGTCTCCATCAAAATGCTGTGCGGCATATACTTGTTGTGAGTCTCCAAATGAATTAGCACAGGTTTCAAAGTGCTGCTTGATCTGGAGTGTGGCAGTGAGGGCCACACCAGAAAAACAAACAAACAACAAAAATGATCAAAAGGCCAGTAGGGTTGGAGATGATACACCCCATGTTTCTGTCTTAGTTAGGGTTTCTATTGTAACCATGACCAAAACCCATCAGCCAAAGAAGTCATGATAGGAACTTAAATAGGTCAGGAACCTGGAGATAGGAGCTGATGCAGAGGTCATGAAGGGATGCTGCTTACTGGCTTGCTCCCCATGGTTTGATCAGCCTACTTTCTTATAGAGCCCAGAGGTGACCCCACCCATAATGGGCTGGGCCCTCCCCCATCAATCACTACTTAAGAAAATGGATCTTATGGAGGCATTTTCTCAAATAAGGTTCCCTTTCAGATAACTCTAGCTTGTGTCAAGTTGTCACAAAGCTAGCCACCATAGTATCCTTCTAACATCTCATGATCAGAAGTCAATCTATTTTGAACATCGTACACACACAAAAAAAAAAAAAAAAAAAAAAAAAAAAGATAAAGAATTCACTCAGTGTCAATCTGGGACAATCGCAAAACCATCCCTCCTATTACAGAGGGGGCTCCGTCCACATCAGGAATTTGTAGGCAGCACCCTGTTGATGTTGATATGCATCAGTAGAAGGGATGCTGCTGTTCTAACCGTAGCAACAGTTACAGACCCTCCCTTAGAAACCTCTGATAACAATAGGAAACTCAAGGAGATCAGAAACCTGGGAAGATGCCTCTGGTCTTAGCTAAAGCATACCCATTCCCAAGCTCAGAAATGGAATGCACAGTCAGGGTGGCTTCCAGAAACATGATCTTCAGCTGTTACATTTACACCAGAGATGGAGTAACTGTGGCCCCAAGAGCCCTGCATTTTGAAGAGGTTTCTCGTTGTGGCTGCAAAAGGGTAGTCATGGCACATGAAGCCGTCCTACCTTCAGGACCTGTTCCAAGTTCTCCAGTTTGGCTTGGGGCTGGCGTTTCTCTTTCACAGTGAATCTGACTCTCCTCTCAGGTCACCACGGGGAGCCAGGCATGTTCAGCCTTCACCTGTGAGCAGGACAGGAAACACGGAGGCCATTAGAATCTGCCCAGAATGGGAAAGGTACCACTCTGGTCCCCTCCAGTGCCTGAAACAATAAAGAGTCTTGGGTTTTTCTGGACAGACTGTCTGATGCTGTTCATACAAGTCAGGGCCACCAGACACCCAGAGGCGACATCCCTCCTGCCCCCACCCACCATCACTACACCCATAGTGAATTGGTTCCAACTTGGAATGAGACCCGATCCTGGCATAGGGGCAATACTCTATCCCCTAGACGTAGTAGTAATGACCGGAGAAGTCCTGTGACCCTTGTATATGAACCTAGCACAAAGGAGACTCTCCTCTCAGTGGGCCTGGAAATTAGGGGGAAGGGCTACAGCTACTGTATAATTTGCTGCCACAAGAGAAGAACTGGTCTTGAATGAAGTCAATGAGAAGCACACAGGGCCAAGACACACAGAGGGAAAAGGCTTGAGCACATAGATCCAGCAGTACCCAAAGCCGGTTATCTTTCTATCAAGGTTACTTGGGCCAATTGAAGTCATTTTCTGCCTCTTATCCCATGAGAATCCTAATAGACAAGAAAGTGCTACCCAGACTGTCTGCAAGTCTAAAAATCTTTGCCCAGTATTGATGTTGTTTCTCTAAAGCAGGTCAGGGCATGCCGTTGATGAGAAAAGTCCCTGAACTGAGCTCCTATTAATTCTTAGGAAGAAACAGCGTATTCCAACCCAAAGGAGGACTTCTAGCTTCCTTCCCTCCTCCCTGGATGCTGGAACAGACTGTCACAAAGCTGTGTTTTCCACCTCCCAAGTCCTTGTTGTCACAGAGATGTTGTGAGTTATGAGGCTTTTACCCCACTACACAATTTCCCTGACTCCAGGCGAAAGTGGCACTCCTAGTGGCTACAGGGGCTGCTACTGGGGGTCACGGGGGTGTCTGGCATGCAGGAGCTCATGCAAGTCATCTTGTTGCCACCTGAGGCCTCTGGCAACAGACTCGGAAGAAGATGTCGCCGTCTATTTCAGTCAAGTGGTCCTCGCTCTTGAGCCTCAACCCCAGGGCAGAGGTTTGCTGGAAGCTGCCATGTCTCATGTTCCCACTTGTCAAGAGAAAGTGGTGTGTGTGTGTGGGGGGGGGTGCTCTGAGCACTCAGATGTTGGTCTCACTTGGAGCCCAGTACAGCTTTATGAAGTGTTTTCAAGCCTAGGCTCTCCCTGCTAGAACTTGCTAGAAACTTCCTGGGGTTTCACTAGAAATCAAAATAAAATCTAAACTCCTCAGGAGTACAAGCCTCTACAAGATCTACCTCTCTTCTGCTAGCCTGGTCTGGGATGTCACATGCTGAGGACACTCTGGCCTCTGTTCCCTAAAGAAATCAAACCCATTCTCACACCCTGATCTTTTGCACTCAGGGACTCCATTAACTGTGGTGATATACCTACCCATCCTGCACCACTCCAATCCTGGTCCAGCCCTGTTGTGGGACAGAGCCCCCTCTGGCAGCCTGCCCACAGAAGGTAATGAAAGCCTCATCCTACCACCTGCCTCCACCCACTGCCAATTTGGCACACTCCTTTTTTCCAGGGCCTTTGCCATGTGGGCGATGATCCTGCATGGAAGCTGGCTCCTGGTGAATGTCATTGGAACTATCCCCAGAAAGCACCCTGTGTTACTTCAGCTTGTCCCCCAGACAGCATCCTAGGTCAAACCTTGTGGGATCAGCTATCCTGGATCTTATACTGATGGAGACACAGCCTACTGTCCAGGTGGGCTTTTGCCCTCAGGTGGGATCCTACCCAGTCTCATCCCTATTGCTACTTCTAAAGGCTGTACCCTAATTCCTAACATAACCCCAACTACCAACCCACAGCTATTAGCCCTCTGTCCTGTAACCATCCATTCTTCATAAGGAACCTGACTCCATCTCCTCCATTGCTTTATCAAGGGATGGGACTCTGTTTTACCCTATAGCTAGGAGTCAGAAATCCATGTAACACAATCCCCCATTGACACTGGAGTCTGGTGACAGAGTGCTTTGAGGACAAAAACACATAAGAGGCGGCTGGACACTGAGGATACAGTGCTCAGAGTGGGGAAGAGCCTCCTGTAACCATGTAACCATGTCCCAGAAGCCACTGGCCATGTAGGGCCGAGCTCAGCAGGGTTCAACTTGCAATCACATCCCTCTCTAGTTGGTAACTCCCCCTTCTCCTATGCATCTCTGAACACACTGCCTTAGCCAGAGGGCTGGCTCCTGTTTCTGCTGGGTAAAGATGGGGAAGGGCACTGAAGCTCACAGGCTGGAGAAGGGCTCTGTCAAGTGGCCTTTGGTTTCATGGGAGGGACAGACTTGTCTCTACATGCTAGCACTTTGAACCCTGCTGCCACTTCCGGGCCCAGGGAGTGAAAGTGACCCGACTGGCAAGAGCCCAGGGCACACGAGGAACCTAGCATTTTGGTTCGCGGGTCTCAGCAGAGCCCAGTACATGGAGGGAGGCCAGGATGGAAGGAAAGAAGAACAGATGTGTTTCTGTACAAAGGTGTGAGCCTCACAGCCCATGTGCCTATGACCATAAAGCACCCCTTAAAACTCTCCAAGTTGCTGTCGGAGATGTGCTTGGCCTAGAATGGTTTCCTGGGAACTGAGCCAAGCTGCTTCCTGCAAAAGAGAAGTACTCAAAGCCACAAGGCACCCAAAGAGACCTCCCCAGGACAGACAGTACAGGATCCAGATGGCCAAAGGACAAGGCCATGCTGCTCTCCTTTGTCCTAAACATAAAGATGCCTTGGGGGGTCCCTAAATGTATGTGTAACTATCTCTGGAGCAAAATTGGAAATAAAAACCGGGGTGGGTCACATGCTTTCCTTTGCTTAGCCTATCAAAATCCTAAATGTCTCTGTCTCATCCTCACAAACTTCCATAATATTCTCAATTGAACTAATGCCACTATTTTTCATACTGGCATTCTATAGTTGGATGTGGCCTCTGCCAACAGGGGGGTCACTGGGTTTGCAGGTTGCAGCTCAAAGTCCTTGGACTATAGACTCACTGATGCAATACCGGGCTTGGTGACTTGGCACCTCCAGGCTCGTATGCTGCCCCATCAGGAAAGCACACTCAGCAACATTAGCCGCCGGGTATCTGCTCAAACATTTCCAGTTCACAGCTGATTCTAGAGGGAGCCACAAGGTGCCTGGCAGGGAGATGCCCACCACAATTAGCCATAGCTACCTGAAGCAAACAAAGCCTCAAACCTCAACCTGCTATGGGACAGCTGTCCTGCCTGGGGGCAGCTCACAACTCTGTTTAGCTCAGCCAATAAAGACATTAGAATTAGTTTGTGAGATCAGGAAATGGGGAACATTTTCTGTACCTTGTCTGAGATTTGCGGCCTCGATGCTCCTCCACAAGACTGTCAGCCAGAGGACTGTGTTTAATAGTCTGGACCACATCTGGGTCTCAGAATCTATCACCTCTGCTTGAGCTTAGGAAGAGTGGAGCCACACATCTCTCATCCATAATTAATGTCGCTCTCTTCATGAGGGCTACTAAAACGCGGATTTCAACTCCAGGCAAAATTGCAAGAAGGAAAATAAGTAGACCCCTGAAATCTTCCCTTGAGCCAAATTTGTATTGACAAGCCCCTGCCTGCTATGAATCAGATGTAACATTCACTGTTGTCCTGGGACTTCCCAGCTACTCGAGGACACAAGATGCTCAGCCCACGGGCAATCTGGTGAGCTGCTGTCTCCCATGGAAGGCTCTAAGTCTGCAAGCTAGCTCACCCAGAACTGGGAAGAGAACAGAGCCTGGCCAGGCTGGCAAGGGGGCGGGACAGATCTGGGAACGTCTCTGCCAGCCTGCTGTTTCTGTCTGAGCCCCCATGAGTCACCAGGCTCCGCTGACATCCCTGTAAAGCAGAAGCACCCAGTAGCCTACACAAAGATTTATTTTTTATATAATTTTAATTATGTCTATGTGTGTCTGTCTGTGTGTGAGACTATACACATGAGTGCAGATACCCCCAGATACCAGAGGCATGACACGTCCCTTTGAAGCTGGAGTAACAGGCGTCTGTAAGCTGCCTGCTATGGGTGCTGGGAACTGAACTTAGGTCCTTATAAGAGCATTAAGCGATCTTAATCTCTGAGCCATCTTTCCAGGCCCCTAACAGCCTGTTTGAAAGGGAATGCTGGGGAGGGGTCCCTTAAGTCCCAGGCCTTAAGGAAAGCAGGAAGCTGAAGTAAGTCCTACTCTTCAGAAACAGGAATGTCAGGTGCATCCCAGAGGCTGGTCAAAGAGGCTGCCTCAGAGCTGAGACAGTACCTGCTTCTGGGGGAGCACTGGCTTGGCCAGGAACCCACCCCATCTCGAAAAGGAGGAAGAAGACTATCCCATGGCCCAACTCCCCACCAACCCTATCGTTCCATAAAACAAATGTCACCATTAATGGATGTGACTCCTGGGCTGAGAAGGTCACGGAGCCTTCTCCCGTGTGCATCCTCGGTGTGTGTGCCTGAGTTTCTTCTAGTCTCCCCAAGAGCTGCTTTGAAGAAGAGAGGCTGATGGGAGCAGGCAAAGGAGCACTGAAAAGCACATCTGTTTTTAAGACGTGATTAAACTATCATGAGAACGCCTCAACCTAATCAAGCTTCCTTCTCCCCACCCCCATGGCTGCCACCCATGTCTAGAACCCTGTCCCCTTAAACAATGACTCCCAACCTCTGCTCCCTCAGCCCCAAGCACCCACCACTCCACTTCCTGTCTCGCCTCTAGCTACTCCAGGGACCTCGCTCAAGTACAATCAAAGCCAGGCCTAGAACAGCAGCTATTCAAGAAACTTAGTCAGGGGGTTGATAGCACCAAGTCTGCCCAGCGACAGAGCAAGGACAAGGCCACTTTGGACAACTTGAGGACCTGTCTCAAGATGACAAGTGAAAAGAGGGCAGGTGGTGTGGCTCAGTTGTGGACTCTTGCCTGGCATACGAGAATTCCTTGGTTCCACCCCCCCAGACTTCAAATAAGCAAACAGATAAGTTCAATTGCTCAGTAGCCATCATTTTGCTGCTGGCTTCCCCTGATGTCCCCAAGGTCCACCCAAGCCACAGCTCCTATTGGAATGACCTCTCATTACAGATGAACACGGAACAGGCTGTGTGGGGGTGGGAAGGGTCTGGGCACACCCCTGCTAGTGCACTGTTACATCTGTACCCTGTGAGTCACCGGGCTCCTCCGACACCCCTGCAAAGTGGGGGAAGAGAGTACAATTACTAGGTACCTCAAAGCCTGTTTTAAAAAGCAGGGAGAGCAGGCAGCAGGAGCAGACATTTCTGGTCTTAGGAAAAGTCAAGCCGGGTTACCTGTGAGTTCCTTGTGTATGTATATATCATCAGGGGACACATGGGTTCCTTCCAGCTTTGGGCCACTGTAAGTTTATACCATGGGCACACAAACCCAGGTTGAGGTCCTGCTTTTGATTTGTTTGGCTACACAGCCTGTGGCAGTGCTAACTTATCAAGTTGACAGAGTCTAGACTCACCTGGAAGATGGGCCTCTGTGTATACCTATGGGCAGGTGATCTGATTTAGTTAACAAATGTAGGAAAACTCATCTCACAACTGGGACTTACATAGACCAGGACTATTCCACGGGCAGATTCTGGTCTATATAAGATGGAGAAAGTGAGCTGGACCCTAGCATGCCATCATCCCTTGCTCCCTGTTTCCTGACTGTGGATGCAACATGACCAGCTGCCCCAGACTCCAGACTTCTGCCACTGTGTCTTCCCCTGCCATGGTGGACCATTAAAAAAAACCCTCTCTCTCCCTTAAGTTGCTTTTGTCACAGTATTTTACCACAGCAGCAATTAAAGGAGCTAACATAGACCCCAAGTAGTATTGCTAGACAGTACCCCCTCCCCCAGCTAAATTCTGGAAGTACATCCAGCCTACTTTCCCCAGTGGCTGCCCAGTTCCCACCAGCAATGTACAGGGATCCCTACTCTCATTGACACTGCAACTTATTGTCAGGGGCGAGGGGACCTCACATTTTCAAGATTTTAATTATGTGTTTATGAGCCTTCGAAGGCTGTACATATGAGTGCAATGTCCATCAAGACCAGAAGGGGGCGACAGATCCTCTGGAGCTGGAGTTACAGGCTGTGAGCCAGACATCAGTGCTGGGAACCAAACTCAGGTCCTTACTCAGTTCACATTGAGCCATCTCTCTGGCCCCAAGTTGTTGTTGTTGTTGTTGTTTGTTTTTTCTTTTGAAGACCTTTTACACACAAGTGGTCTATCCTTAATCCAAAAAAAAAAAAAAAAAAAAAAAAAACACACATTTTTGAAAAGATGGGAGGTAGAAAGGCTGGGACATAGGCGCCAAATGGTTAGAGTTTGGCTAGTCCTTGTCATATAGTTAGGTGAAGCAGTGACATCAGCAGCTCACAACCATCTAGTTGGGACTAGGGGACTGGCCGTGTGGCTCCATGGGAGAGCCCTTGCCTAGCATGTACAAGACCCAGTTCCCCAAACTGAAAGGAAAAACAAAAAAGAAAAAAAATTTAAAAACTGCCCCAGTGGGACAGGCCTGTCATTCTACATCTCAGGAGGCTAAATCAGGGGACAGGGAGTTCTAGAACCATCTGATATGTATAATGAAACACACACTCTAAAAAGAACCAAAACCCAGAAGCACTTAATCCACTACTCGACTAATACTGAAGGAATCTTTGCATTCCACATGCTGGAGGATCTACGATGGAGGACCATGCCAGAGGAAACAGACAGACTGATACAGCAGTGAGATATGCCAAATCGACAAAGGACTGACAGACTAAAAGACATAAAAACCAGGTGAGACAAGATCCCACAGAAGAAGTGGAGTGGGAGCCTTCAGGCTGGTGGCGAGGGCAGCATTATGGGAAGGCGTTTGGGCTTCAGTGGCCGGGCTTTTGGGGAGGTGGTGGGGGGGGGGGATAGGGCATTCTGAGGCCAGAAACTCTTTGGAACTGAGACCAAACTGAGGTTCCAAGTTGCAAAACAAGTTGGGGTGGCTGAAGCTTGGTGAACGAGGTGCAGTGGCAGATACAAAGGCCACACGAGGTCACCAGAACTCTTATGTATATATGGGGGGCACGGGAAGGGGTGCATTAAAGAAGCCAAGATCACTCCATCCGCTGTGGGGATCGTGACAGGGTGGCAAGCAGGGAGGTAGAGAGTCTAATTAAGAAGCCACCTTTGCATCTGGGTAAGCGAAAACAGTAGCCTGGTATGAATGAATGCTGGAAGCCAGGTGGAGAGCTGGGGGCCTGGCCAGCATCCCCACCGCACAGAAGAGAAGGGCAGAGGATAGAGGAGCAGGCAGAATTCAGGATGGGCCATCACACTCTGGCTTGGGCTCCTGTCTCAGTGTCTGGTAGATGTCTAGGTAGAGGTTCATGTTGGAGAGACACTGTTGGGTGATTCAGCAGACTGGGGTCTCGGGCCAATTTGGCTGGGTAGAGCCTGTCCGTTCCACATGCTCTCCCTTCCCTGCGGCTCCTCCCAAGCCCTCCCAAGCTATCCAAAATGGGGTAACAGTGGCGTTATTACCTGGTCATGCTGCTGTGCCCTCCGGGGAAGGCCTCTGCAGGGGCCTCAGTTGATGCTCCCTCTACACACCAGCCTTCAGTTCATCTTTCTGGAAAAGAAGGAAAGGGTATGGTGAGAGGTGAGGCAGAGCATGGGGACACACAGTTTCGGATTATAGACTAGATCTAGGATTGGTGCTGACTCTGGAACCTCGGCCGGGTAGGACCCCATCTTTCTTTCTAAGCCATGCATATCCCAGTTGTGGAATGGGACTGGTGACCTGTACTGTGCTTCTTTGGTGCTAAGGGGGCAAGGCTCCTCCATCCAGTCTTCCAGCAGCCGTAGAAAGGTCAAATTGATTTCCCTTATCAAATTCCATTTCAGTGGGTTCAGGGGCTGCAGTGGGTGTTGCCAGTGCGGGGAAAACAGACTGTCTAATTCAAGGCAGGAGACACGACTCCAAGACAGCTCCAGGCAAAGAGAAAAGACATGCCACCTCCTCGTCCTACTACTGCAATGTTTCCAAATCAGTCCAGTCACGAACAGCACTCAGGGGCCACTTACGGCATTAGTCCCCAAGGCAAGGGGTCAGCCACAGAAAAAGGTGATGGGAAATAAGCAATAGACCAGCCAAGAAAGAGCCTGGGCAGTGATGTTGAAGAACCTGGCCAGTGACAGATAGGAGTGAAGGAGGGAGGTGACCTGGCTGTGACTTCAATGTGGCTGCTTAAGCCGTGCAGGCTCTGGGTGTTCCCTGTGGTAGCAGAGAACACATGTGGTTTGCACCTGGGGACAACGCAGCAAGTACTCAGCACTCACCCTTATCCTACCAAGCTCTTAGACAGTGAAATACACCCTAAGAGGCATCATAGGCAACACCAGAGGGGACCAGGTCTGCTCAGGTTAACCAGCATCACTCTAGTTAAACTGAGCCTCTCTGGCGCTTAAGCCACTCTAATTAACAATCCCCATGTAAGAAGTACCCAACAAAGATGCATATATATGTATATACATATATATATAGTTCGTGCTTGTTCTAGAAGGCCTCTAGAATGTGTGGGTTTGCAGCTGCAACACGACAAATCCATCTCTCCCAGGCAGCATGGGTGACATCCAAGCTGAGGCTAAACAGAAGCACATGGCAGGGAGGACTGGGGATTTGACATAGTCTGATACAGGGTTTCTGCAGGCTGAGGTCCTGGACACCCCTGTCACATAATATATGTGACTCTCCTCTGTGTCTCCCTGTGGAGGTGGGTACCACTGGCTGCTGACCACATCTGAGGGCTCAGTAATTAAGCTCAGTGACACACACCCACAGCCTAGAGATGTGGAGACTGTGACTCACTTATTGTCACGACTATGTTGAGGAGTGATTCAGGGAGCAGGGTCCCTCCTTCCCAGTCTCTTCTGGCCTGGAATAGCATCACAAAAACAGGCAATCTGGCTTGCACAGACTTCCTAGCTGCCTCAGATTGTTAAACCTGTGTACGTATGTTTACACATATGGGCACATGCAGGTAGAAGCCGGAGAATGACCGCAACTGTCACACATCAGCCATTATCAGTTTGTTTTTCTGGGGCAGCATGCCTCGCTAAACTGAAGTTTGTTGATGGGCTGGGCTGGGCAGCAAGTCTAAAGGACCCTCCCAGCTCTACCTCTCCATAGTATGTAACTGGCTTTTTTTTTTTTTTTTTTAAATGCAGGTTCTGGGAATTGAACTTGGATCCTCACACTTGCACAGCAAGTATTCTGCCCATTGAGCCATCTCCCTAGACCTCAGACAGTTAACTCTTAAGTGATTCATATAGTTGCAGCCTTTGAAAAGGAACAGAGCTCAGGACCACCAGACTGTTATGCCCAAGAGATAGTATATCCACTTGAGAGAAGTGAGTATGTGAAGCCCCAGGTCTACACAGCAGACAGGAAAGCACCATCTACTTACACCCTCATATGGGCACACAGCCATGAGGGGCAGCTGCAGGCAGGTGACCAGAAGGTCCCAGGATCAGAGTTGAGATCTCCTGGGAATACAATCCTGAAATCTTGGGTCAAAGCAGAAAGTCTAGTAAATAAGGCCCTATCAAGGCTTCAATATTCACCGATACATTAAGAAAAGCCTGAATTGAATTCCTGATGTGTCAAGCAAAATTGTGGACAAAAAAAGAAAAAAGAAAGAAATTCCAATGAGGATGGGGGAGGAAGGAAAGACCTACTTCAGAGTTTGAATCTCAGCCACCCTCAAGGTAGGCACTACACATAGACAACTGGCCCAGATGCAAGAACATTCTAGACTGATGGTGAATGGGATGTGCCCACTTCAGTCAGCAGCAGTAGAAGCCACACAGGAAGGAGGGTACCCAGCATCACTGGGGCTGCTATGCCCTCAGCAGCCATCACCATGGCTTTCTCTCTCGATTACTCCTGTTTTGATGTATGGTCCAGTGACTCAAACAAAAATAGGCATAGTATACTTGTTCCCAAAACAGACACATTTACAGTTTGGATCGGGCTTGAACGTGGGGCTCTTTGTTAGAGAAGTTAGGCAGATGTAGAATCCATAGCCTGGCAAGTGAGGGCACAGAGATCTGCTGGGCAGGAGTTCCCTTTATGCAGGGAGAAAGCAGGCTATGGCAGCTCTGTTCGCCTGAGCCTGGTGAGGCCATATGCACTTACTGCGGGTAAAACTGTTCTCTCCAAATTTATACCCTGGAGCCTCAACATGGCAATTTTTAGACAGCGTTCTTAGGAGATCCGTAAAGTTAAATGATGCTATAAGGGTAACACCCCCCCCCTTCCCCTCTTTCTTCTGTCCCTCCCATACACATTGTCATGTAAAGATAAAGCCTCCTGCAAGCATAAAGGGAACTGCCATAGTAGAGATTAGCCAGCTCTTTGGCCTTGGAGTTCAGCCTCTCGAGTGTCTCTCATTCAGTGTGCCCAGCCTAGGGCTCCCAGACTGGTCTAGCACCTTGCTGCAGCACTTAGAGGTAAAGCCAGGTTTTCCTAATTCCCAAAGAGCATGAGAGTATCAAGTGGTTGACAAGGAAAGAACCAGCCCTTTGGTGTCTCCTCTCCCCCAGGGATGCTCAGAGTACCCACCTTTCAGTGGCAAGATGGGGAGAAGGGGAAACTGTGGCAAGAGGGGAAGAGCTGCCTGGAGAACTTGAAGATTCTGCTTCCTCTATGCTCTGGCCTCACTGGGTGCCCGACACACGTGTGTTCTAGACATAGTCCCTGTCCCCAGCCCAGTGAGAACGGAAGACAAGCTAGGGCACGTAAAAACATCGACAGAAGCAGAAACGCAGGGTAGTCATGGGAAACCTATGGGAATCTGAAGTGAGAGACAAATGAGAGAGTCCCTCAGAGGAAGGACACAAAAATAGGAGCTCGTGGTGCTTCTGTCTCAGGGACCTCACACCACAGGCACCGTGGGAAACCCAAATGCCAGGCTCCCGGCAGCACTGACAGACACTTCTCGTAGATACCTGCTGCTGAAGCCATAACAAAAGGGGGCTGCTGAAGACACCAGAGGTGGAGAGACCGTGTTCTCAGCCTCCAGGGAGACCCTGAGAGAGCCGGGTGCCCAGATGGGCTCACAATTGACTCTGTAACAGCTGTAGTGCCTGAGCAGGCTGCTTTCACCCTCTGCCTCCTAAAATCTCCCCAGTCCTCCAAACCTTTGCCAAACCAGCACTGCAGAGTGGCACCTCTCTTGCCTTGTGCAGAAATTAAGGCACAAGGTGGCAGCGGGGGGGGGGGGGGTGCGGGGGAGGGATTCATTAACAGCCTGAGCAAGAAGCCTCTACACAGTAAGCAACCACCAGGGTTTGAGCCAGGCAGCATGGATCTCCAACTCCAGCCCCCCCACACACACACACCAACATACCTAATCTTGCCACACCACAGGCTCCTGGTGGCAAGCCCAGAAGAGTCTCTGACCAGAAGGTTCTAGAAGGCTGCATGGTTACACCTAAGCTAGGAACTTGCAGGCACACCCTGGGAATGGGGCCTAGGAAGATCTCAAGGGGAAACTTCATTTCCATGAAATCAAAAAATGAACATACATACACATTACCAAACTCCACATAGAGCCGATACCCACATCCTACTTCATGGACTCAAGCAACTGCCACATTGGCTGTCCAGGGTTAACAGCCAAGCCAAGTCTCAACAGTTATTTTGTGAAAAATGACTTTACAAGAGTTTAAACAGCAAAGACTCAGCAGGAACCTGGAAGAGGCTAAGCACAACAATGTAAACTTTCAAATGCAACATTTTTGTGGATGTGTGTAAGTATGCTTATCCATGTGTCTGTGTGTGCGTGTGTATGTGTGTGTGTCTGTGTGTGTGTGTGCGTGTGTGTGTGCGTGCGCGCGTGCACGCTATGGGTATTCAATGCATGTGTGCATGCATGGGGGTGAAGAGCATAGAGGTTGTATTGAGTGTCATCCTTGTTTTTTGTTTATTTGTTTGTTTTTAAGGCAGTCTCTCATTAAACCTAAAATTCATTGATTAGCTAGGCTTGCTGGCCAGAGAGTCCCTGGGATCCTCCTGCCTCAGCCTACCCATTGCTGTGATTACAGATTCACTCTGCTGAGTCTGGCTTTTTATGTGGGTTCTAGGAATCAAATTTGGCTCCTTGCATTTGCATGGCAAGCCTTTTACCAACTGAGCCATGGACCCAGCCCTGACTGTAACTTCTTTATCTCCAAAGGGAAACTTGACTTAAGGATTGTAATGACATACCAAAGAATCTGGGTTTGCTTCCTGAACTTGGTTAGCTTTGCAAATTTGTTTATGAGTCATCCACTTTGGTTTTGGCATCTGAGAAAAGCTGCAGAAGTTTTAAACTCACTGTCATGTCTGGACATGTGTGATGATTTATGAATGATAAACTACAACAGCGCTGGGTTCAAATATAGACTGAGTCATTACAACCTGAAGCCTAGTCTAATATTACAAGAATGGAACCGCTGATGACAAAGTAAGCCAACACTGGGTGGTGCTTGTTATCTCATTCTTTCTAGGAAGACTTTGCAAGTGGTGCCAGCCTGGTGACATTGGCAGGGAGGATGGAGTTGCTGCAGGG